ATTGGCATTGGTTTCTTCATCATCTTGTAATGAGTATACAAGTATATTCACTCACTCCATATATCAAGTGTGTGGTTACAGGTGTATTCTTGGTTATAGTCCAATCATATCAAACAAGATTTGCATTCAAGATTCCTCAGTCACAGTGTTGAAACATTCAGAACATTCGTTGTGAGCATCGTTACCGTTTCCAACATGTATTCTTGATTTCTCTTTCCTCGACCAATTTTTGAATCTAAACCAATAAATGATCACCCACCTGCTTCTGCTCTTGGTTTGAAGAAATAGCAACATAAGCAATGTGCAACTTTTGATTTGTAAACAGTGGTAATTGTAAAATATCCCAAACAATTTTCAAACACTGGTAGTTGCCATGTCAATACCCTAACAAAACCACTTCAATGTCACTTTAACCCTAAATTCATTGTCACCTTACAGTTAACACTTATGCACACTGCAAACTGTGTCAAAGATTAGAAGCATCAAATTAACAATAATGTGATTGATACATACTATGTTGTTGGAGGTTTATGCAAACATCGTGCCCGTCTTCAAGAACAACAAACTGCTAAAGTTATTGAAGCACTTAATGCAAGTGAACTCTCAAGTGGTCGAGGCCTCAATCAAGAAATTTCTTTCGTTAGAGCAGGTGACACACGTTGGGATCTCATTATGGCACTTTAGTGAGTATGATTGTCTTGTTTCCATATGTGATAGATGTGTTGGAAATGATAGATTAACCCAAGAACAGAAATGTGAAGCTATTCAGCTATATAAATCCTTCCACTCCTTCCATTTCGCATTTTGTCTACACTTGATGAAGATATTATCGAGTATTACAAACGAGTTATCCCAAGCATTGAAGGAAAGAACATGATATTGTAATGCAATAAACTTAGTTGGACTATGCAAGAAGCAACTACAAAACTTGAGGGATGGCGGGTGGGATTCTATGCTCTTTCGGGATTGGTGATCCTGCATAGAAAATGGTTGAAACAAAAAGGAATAAGGTGTTTCCCTTGATTTACTTGCTTACTAGATTAGCATTGACATTACCGGATGCGATGACAACAGTTGAGAGGGCTTCTTCTACTATGAATATTGTATAGAGCGGGTTGCGCAACAAAGTGGGAGCTCAATGGATGAACGCTAACTTGATTGCTTATATTGAAAAAGATGTATTTGCCAATTTTAGTAACGAAGATACCATTGATATGTTTTCGAAAATGAAAATTCGTCGAGGTCACTGTTGACTTCTGAAATGTACCTATATACATCTATTTCATGATTGAATGTTGCTATTAATATAATATTTTGTATTTGGTTTTTTTATTTATTTAAAAGGACCACCCTAAACAATATTTTTGGCTCCACCCTTGATTATATCTAATAAGTCATCCAATAGAACAAGCCCAAAAGTAATGATGATGTCTAAATATGCAATACTTGAAATATACCAAATACAAACTAATTTCAGTAATTCGATTAATTGATGGCACACAAGTCGATTTCGATTTGGACAGGTAAAACCGAATATTCAATTTTACGCTTTTTCAAAACCTAATTTTACTGAAAACCGGTTAGTCTTGAGATAACCTCATCTTAAGTTTAAATTTTCAAATTAAAAGGTCTTAAGTTTATATATGATTCACACATCTGTTTAAATGCAAACCGTTTTTACATCTGTATGATCAATTGTTTTGAATTCTGGTTTAGATCTATCAAACGACCATAGTCAAAACTAGTTACTGGGTGTTTAAACATATGTCTAGTAGCGTTGTCATTTATAATTTGCGTTTTTGAACATATCGTCGTAAAGTTTTATATTTAAAAAAACATAGGACAATTGTAAAATTGGGACCAATAATTGAAGAGGAAAGGGAGCTGCCATATTTTAAATCCAACCCCTCTGTTTTCAGAAAACTCCAATTTATGGACCAAAATTAACGATAAAAGTCAAGCACAATAATGGAGTCTAGAAAGGATAGAAAGAAGGATGGTCCTTTGAATTTATTATTCTTTTTCTATAAATGTTTTTTTTTAATATTTTATAAATTATTTTTTCATTTAGTAATATATATATACATATTCATTTGTTTGATAATACAGAAATCAGAAATTTGATCTGAAAATGTCTTATTTGTACTATAAAAAATAACACTTTGAAAAAAACACAGTTGATCGTAACCATGTCCATCACCGTTCACCACTACTACTACTACAAGAAAGAAAAACATCAACTAAGTTTATGTTAAACACGATTAGAAGTACTCAAACAGTGTTTTAAGACATGCACCGTGAATGTAAGAATCGTTCTAAATACATTTTTTAAAAGTACAAATTGCGTTTTGGACAAAAAATTATGAAAATAAAACTTATCCAGTTCTTATTACTGATATTTTTTATATGTCACAGAGAAAAATACAAGAGGTAAACTTAATGGGGTATAAGTGAATTATAAAAGTTAATCATTGGGTTGAAGTGTTTCAATGAAAGTTATGTTCAAAATTGCATATATTAAGAAAAAAATTGAGAGATGGGGTTTAAGTGTCAGGAACAAAAGTTGTGGGGGGTAAAATATAAAATTCTAAAGTTGTAAAATGATTGTACTTGTGAGTTGTGGACACATGGTATTGACGGTCTATTTATTTCGTTATAAGATCGGATGCAGATGAACCAACAAACTTTTAGCTGTAAAGGGGTTCGTCGATCATTTTGGAGTTCAAGTTACTAAAAAACAATATCGTGGTAATGTCAGATACAAACGAATCAACGAATTTTTATCTGTAAAGAATTTTGCCAATCATTTTTGGAGTTGAAGTTACCAAACAACAGTAGAAGAAAGGATATGATAAAAGATCTAACAGCATCAAAAGTTGCCGAGTTTCAAATGAACAAATAGTAATGTATGTTGTCCTATACCATATAAACGAAATTCCCACGATATAAACGTTGATGTCCAAAACAATGAGAACAATAAGTTAAAAGACAATTTTGTCCTTTTGGCTTATATCTATAAATTGAAATCAATTGTTTGATTAGACGTGGATTATCATTGTAGGACCTATCTTTTTTCTAGTTAGACATAAATTCACTTTAAATGGGCCAAGGCGGTTGATCATGAGAAGCTTCAAGTCACGGAAGTTCTAAAATTGCTTTCTTAAGATGGAAATGACCAATTTGTCCTTGAAAACGATAAATTGACTTTCAAACATTTAGTTTGGCCGAAAGTTGTTTATACAAATGTCGATTTTTAATAGGTTTTTTTCATGAAGAAATATTGTTAAACAAATTTAAACTTGTAATAATGCGATAAAAGATTGTCTTTTTCTATTGACAATATTATTTTTACATATATATATATATATTACCAAATTTGTATTTTTTTTATGGATCTTAATTTTAACATATTTATAGTCAAAAGATGTTGAATTTGAAATAAATATAAGAAAAACTGTCAAAAAGTTTTCTTTAATAAAGCTTATCACTCACTCCACTTTACCTATGATGCTTTTAAACTTAAAGATCCAAAACATAAAAATATATGTATGTGGGGATATGCATACCATCCAGATAAATATCTACCAAGGTGTTTTTCAATTTCTTTTGTGGTATTCCTCATAATATTCCTATATATATTACTCTTTGAAAATTACAATCAAATACTTTTTTCGAAGATATTATATTTTATAATTGTAATTACATCAATTTCCTTAAGGTCCAAAATCAAATATTATCATAACCATTTGAGTTATAACATATGGGTTAATTTTATCTATCTCGGATTCAGATCTAGATGTTATCAAAACGTTTGTAATCATGGAGATTGTATGATTAACATACGATGATTCCAAGTCATTTATGGTCACCTTGGGAATTAATCTGTATACGTAAGTGGACCCAAAAACCCACGATCACCCAAAACATATCAATCGCATATTTTCGATTAAATATTTTAAACATCAACTAAAAATGAATACTAATTAATTGTTATAGTAGTTATAGAAGTACAAATAATTCTATAGGTCCCAAATTCATATTTTCACTTGATTTATTAGTAGGCACAATCGAAGTAGGCCACTATCACATCTTATGTTTAATTCCATAATCGTTAATATATGTCGTTTTCAATACATATGTACTTCTTTATTGTATCGACTCGTTCTTAAATTGTTATACCATTTATTATTGTTCAAATAATTTTAGTAATATTATACCTACACGTTACATATACATATACATATATATATATTAGTCGACATTAATTTTGACAAAAGATTCAATAACATCATTTTTAGCAAATGATTAGCTTTTTCCTAATTTTTAACATGAATATCAGTGTTTTTTTTAATTTATCTTTCTTGCCTTGTGCATTATTGAGTTCAATGACTTGTGTACTTTCAAATTACCAGTTTTATCTGTATGAATATTACTATAATTCAATGTTTTGATTATATTATCTTATTGGTTTCTTTTTCTATCAACAAAAATGATTGTTCAAAACAAATTTATCAAATAAAACACCCACTTTTATCAAAGAATCAAGATCAATAAATAAAATATGATGCATAATTATGAAAAAAATAAGTAAATTGAATGATGCAAGGACCAAAGATTACAGAGGTCACCGGTTGGTAACTTGGATCCAATTTTTGGCCAAGAAATGGAAAAAATCCCAAGAAAATCACAATAGTTTCATTGTAAGCTTAAATTAATGGGTTTTAAAGGAAAATATATAATATGAGAATGGTGATTAATAAAACTAATTGGTTCATGAGGATTTTGTTCATCCAAGAAATTGGGGGTTTGTGGCGGAGAAAACGAGAAAGAAAGCAGGGTGTGAAAAAAAAGATTGTTCAACTTCTTATTTAACACAGAGCATGACACATGCCTTCTGTTGACTACTTTCTTTCTTTCTTTCTTTCTTTTCTCTCTCTGCCCACATCCTACATTCCTCTTAACTTCCCACACTCACTCTTTTACTCATTTCAACCTTTTCTCTTCCTGCTTTCTTCCCAAATTTTCTAACCCATGTTTCATCCAAGACCTTCTTTTGAATCTTTAGAATATGGGCTTCAAAACCAGGTATCTATTCTTCATCTTCTTGTTCATATGCGTTTCTTGCAAAAAAATGAGAAGAAAAATGAAGCTATTCTGTGTTGATTTCATATGGTTTCTTGTTGATTCTGTGTCAGTTTTTGTTCTTCTGAGACGATTTAATTCATTTGTGTGAGTTGTTATGTACATTTCCGTTTCTCTTTTTCTTGTAAATTGGTTATCAAGATTCAATGATGGGTTGCAAAAGATGGGAATCTTGTAAGTAGTAGGCTTATTTTGGATGTTCTTTGTGTTAATTTGCAATGGGTATTGGTTATATTGGAGTATTAAACAATGTATAGAAAGAGTTCCAAAAACTAGATATTGTTTCTGCAAGTTAAATGAGTTACCCCATCTATGTCATTTTGTGCCTATTTATTCTTTCTTTATGAGATGTTTTTCTTCATGGGTGAGAGTTGTTTTCTACTTTTCTTTGTTAAACAAGTTATCAAGATTCAAGAATGGCTTGGAAATGTTGCAAATTTTGTATCTATTAGGTTTATTTTGGATGTTTTTGAGTGTGAATTCCAATGGCTGTTAAATAGATTTATTACACAATGCACAGAAAGATTCCTAAAACCAGCCATTTTTCTTATCAATATGGTCTTCAAAAACGCCCTTAGGCATACTTTGCTCAAATACACAGCAGGTTGTTCAAATACACCAACAGGTTCAAGATCGAATCCTGTAGTAGACGGTTTGAACCCCTCTGCTAGCATTAGCCACCGAGTCAACTCTGAAATGCCTCATCACATGTGGTTCCTAGGGGGCAGGTTCTGTGTGGGCAGTCATGGTTGTTGGTAATCAACCTTTTGCTCAAATATGGTCTTCAATAACCACCACTTATCTTAACTTCCCTTTCTCTGCAATTATGTGCGAGTTTTTCTTTACTTTTAATCTGTTTTCATGGGTGAGAGCTGTTTGCACTTGTTTTCTTATGAGGAGTTGTCAAGATTCAAGAATGGGTTGCAAATGTGGCAAATTTTGTATCTATTAGGCTTGTTTTGGCTGTTTTTGAGTCTGAATCTCAATGGGTGTTGATTAGATTTGACTATTTACACAATGCACAGAGGGAATTCCTTCTAAAGCTAGGTTCTTTTCCTGCAAAAATTAAACCTACTTTATACCAATTAAACCTCTTTGTGATTCTGTGTAAATTTTATAACAATTGTGGTTTTTCCTTCATGGGTGAGAGTTGTCTTGTACTTTTTTCTTGAAATGAGTCATCAAGATTCAAAAATGGCTTCTAAAGATTGAAATTTTTGTGTACTAGGCTCATTTTAGATGTTTAAGCATGAGCCGCAACGGGTGTTGACTTGATTTAACCATTACACAACTTACAGATAGAATTCCGAAATCTTGGCTCCAACCACCCAAACTAAGGAGAAAAAGTAACCTCGGTTGATCTATGTATGCTTGATTTGTGTTTCTAATGGAGGAAAACAAATTTTAAATGTAGAAAAAGGGTTGTAAATAGTAATTTTTCTTGTATGTTATCATTGAGTTATGTCTTAACAAGTTCCAAATTTCAAGATTTGTCAACTTCAAGTCCAATTACACGACGAATAACAGATAAAGGACTAACGATGCATTAATTTTCGGGTGGCAAAAGTATCTTTCGATTCCAACACTTGTTTTAAACCTTATATACCTTAAAATGAGATTTCTTGATCTTAGAGATATAATTCAATTTCATAAAAGTTCAGTCCTTTCAAAGGCTGCTGCTTGGAGGTCAGGTCTGTGTACTGACGTGCGTGTCAGTACGCAGATATGCAGACCTTACCTCTGAGACCATACTTTCAAGTGGGATTTACTGGGTTAGTTTGGTTTGGTTTTGACTGTATCTAGTTTTTCTTGCCTTATATGGATAGAAAATTCTTGGTTCAATTTTGTATATTTATGCCGATTGTTCAAGATACATGTATCATTAAATTTCTTCGTTCTAAATATCTACATGGGTGAGATTGAATCGAAACAGAAGTTGAATAAGGCATCATGTTCCGCGGTGCTGAGTTTGGCTTATCAGAGTCTTGGAGTCGTATATGGGGATCTAAGTACCTCCCCACTCTATGTTTATAAGACCACGTTCTCGGGGAAGCTTAGTCTTCACGAAGATGATGAAGAAATCTACGGTGTGCTTTCATTCATCTTTTGGACTTTCACTCTAATCGCCCTCCTTAAATACGTCTTCATTGTCTTGTCGGCCGATGACAATGGCGAAGGTACACCTCCTCCATTCTTTTCAAGCACGCTTTTAATTATAAGTTCTTATTGATGTTGTTGTGATTAATTTAGACCGAGGGGTAAAATAGTCATTTATCTCATCTAGACTGTTTATTCAGCACAACAACCAAACGTGAGTGTTTGATATTGACTGAGGGGTAAAATAGTCATTTTTGTCATAAGACTGTTTGTTTAGCACAACAACCGAACGTTAGTGCTTAATCTACACCGGTGGCTAAATGGTCATTTATGTTATTTAGACTATTTATTCAGCACAACAACCAATTGGACCGAGGGGTAAAATAGCCATTTATGTCTTTCAGATTGTTTATTCACAACAACCAAATAACAATTTAGCTTAACTCATACAGGGCTTGATAGAATAACAACCGAAAAACATCTTAGTAGTAAAAACACATAAAACGGATCATTAATTTTGACGTGTGCTTTGTGTTGAAGGTGGTTCCTTTGCATTGTATTCATTACTCTGCCGGCATGCAAAACTTAGTATGCTTCCAAATCAACAAGAGACCGATGAGAAACTATCGGCATATGGTGTTGAAAGAACAGCAGAAACCTGGCAAAGCTTTGCTTCTAAGTCTTTCTTTGAGAAACACACGAAATTTCGAAAAGGGCTCTTGATCTTTGTTCTTCTTGGAACCTGTATGACGATCGGTGATGGCGTATTCACTCCTGCAATATCGGGTAATTGCTTACCATCAAAGATTCTCATCTTTAACTTCAAAAATCTTTCTAAATATGTCAAGATCTTCCGTTTCAGTTCTTTCAGCAGTTTCAGGCGTTAGAATTAAAGCTACAGGTCTTCATGAAAGTAAGTCAGCTTATATAGGGACAGGATCATTCATAAATATTTTGAGGACTGAGGAACCAAATATTCATAATGAATATCATTTCTTTCTTTCTTTCTTCATGTATATCTAATCTCTGTCTTGTTTTTTCTTTCTCTAGATTATGTAGTTGCGATCTCGTGTGTTCTTTTAGTTGGGCTTTTCTCGATTCAACATCATGGGACACACCGAGTTGCTTTCTTGTTTGCTCCAATCGTCACAGCGTGGCTGCTATCGATTGCTGGCATTGGAATATATAACATTATTCAATGGAACCCGCAAATATTTCATGCTCTTTCTCCTATCTACATGGTGAAATTACTGAAAAGGACTCGTCGTGAAGGCTGGCTATCGTTAGGAGGAGTCGTTCTTTCAATCACAGGCGTGGAGACGATGTTTGCTGATTTAGGCCATTTTTCAACGTTATCCGTTAAGGTCTGAATGTTTATAGGACATTTATTGAACTTCTAAAATATGAATGAATGGATCTTGAGGATCAAAATGTTTTATATTTCAGATAGCGTTCACGTTTCTTGTGTATCCTTGCTTGGTTCTTGCGTATTTGGGCGAGGCTGCATTTCTATCAAGGCATCACGAAGATATCCAACGAAGCTTCTATAAAGCAATACCAGGCAAGAAGCTAATCCCCGTAGGAATCCAAATGAAGAAATGTGTTCTTTTCATGCTTTCATTGGGTTTTCTGTTGAATTTCTATGCAGAAGCTGTGTTCTGGTAGTGTTCATAGCAGCAACGGTCTTTATATGATTTCATTTTTTATGTGGACTTTTTTGTGCAGAAACTAATCACCTAGGAATCGAAATGACTAAAACGTGGTCTTTTCATGGTATCATCCGTTTTTCTGTTGAATACGGTCTTTATATGATTTCATTTTTTATGTGGACTTTTTTGTGCAGAAACTAATCACCTAGGAATCGAAATGACTAAAACGTGGTCTTTTCATGGTATCATCCGTTTTTCTGTTGAATTTTTGTGCAGAAACTGTATTCCGGCCAATGTTCATAGTGGCAAAACGGTCTTTTCATGATTTCATTCGGTTTTTCTATTGAAAAATTGTGCAGAAACTAATCCCCTAGAAACCCAAATGACTAAAGCGTGTTCTTCTCATGATTTCATCGTTTTCTGTTGAATTTGTGTGCAGAAGCTGTATTCTGGCCGGTGTTCATAGTGGCTACATTTGCAGCCGTGGTAGGAAGTCAGGCTGCGATTTCCGCCACCTTCTCGATCATAAGTCAATGTTGCGCGTTGAACTGTTTCCCTCACGTTAAAATCGTTCATACGTCAAGAAAAATATATGGGCAGGTCTATATTCCGGAGGTGAATTGGATGTTGTTGAGCCTGTGTTTAGCTGTGACAATTGGATTACGAGACACAAACATGATCGGCCACGCTTATGGTATTCATCTTTCCGATTCAGTCAACTGTACCTTGTTCATTGACTTTTGAGGTCAAACATAGATTTGTAAATTTCTATCTTGTCGTGGATTATCTAACAAATTCAGCATCAGAAAAACGATGAATTTGAAGCAATTCGCATGAATTTTCAATGGGTTCTTTAAGAAATTTAAAAGAAATCCAAATTTTTTTAGCAATTTGAAGTTAAGTGTTAGTCTGTTTGATCTCAAAAGTCAAAACTTTACCCATATGCAAGAAACAGAGTAATACTTTTGATTTTGTAGGGCTGGCGGTGACTACGGTGATGTTCGTGACAACGTGTTTGATGACGATGGTGATGATAATCGTGTGGAAGCAACAGATCATAACTGCCGCTGCGTTTCTCGTCGTTTTCGGGTCGATCGAGCTCCTTTATCTCTCTGCCGCCTTCTTTAAAGTTCCGGAAGGTGGCTGGATCCCGCTGCTCCTATCGTTGGCCTTCATGTCTGTAATGTACGTATGGAATTACGGCAAGTTAAAGAAACACGAGTTCGACTTAGAAAACAAGGTCTCAATGAACCGAATACTGTCGTTAGGTCCAAGCCTTGGGATGGTCCGTGTGCCCGGAATCGGGCTCGTTTACACGAATCTGGTGATGGGAATCCCGGCAATCTTCGGTCATTTTGTCACCAATTTACCGGCTTTCCATCAAGTTCTCGTGTTCGTTTGCGTAAAATCCGTTCAAGTCCCGTATGTCGGAGCCGAGGAGCGGATGCTTGTCGGTCGGGTTGGGCCACAGGAGTTTCATATGTTTCGGTGCATCGTTAGGTACGGTTACAAAGACGTCCATCACGAAAACTACAACTTCGAGAACCGATTAGTCGCGGCACTTGTGGAGTACGTCGAAAAAGAAAGAAAAATGAAAGACGAATTTGGAGACACTGAAAGCGATAATCTCGACGACGATGTGTCGCCAGAACTCACGTTTACGCTTCCAGATCACGAAGAGAAGATGGTTCGGTCGTTCAAAGAGATCGAGGAGTCATTTGCAGGGTATTTAGAAACTCACTCGAGTCTTAAGGACGAATCCATTCAAATACTCAAAGCTCGGGAAGCGGGGATCGCGTACATTCTCGGCCATTCGTACGCAAGGGCGAAGAAATCTTCCTCGATATTTGCGAAATTAGCGATCGATGTTGTTTACTCGTTTTTGAGCAGGAATTGCAGGGGAACCGATGTAGTTCTCAATGTGCCGCATACTTCGCTGCTTGAAGTCGGTATGATTTACTACGTTTGATCGTAAAATGAGTCGGGATTCGAGAATCGAAGACGGTAGAGATACGTAGATTTATACGTATATTGTATACGAATACGCATGGGTTTTGAGCATTAGCGGATAATTAGGTTTAGTGTAAATGTTACGATTACATATCATAGAAAGTTAAAAATGTACATGGAATTAAACTACAGATTAAACCCAGAGGAAAACTACAAATTTGGTCCCTATGGTTTTTCGAAAATAACACTTTCTTATTTAAATTACACGATGGCTATTGATTTGTGGTTTTGCAAAAATGTCGGGATTTAGTTCATTCCTTTAAGGTCGCTAAAAAAATTCATTAAATGAGAGAATTCAACATTGATTATAATATTAAAATATTTCATTCATCCATTAAAATATTATTTTACTTTATAAATATTTATTTTCAGATTTTCTTATTGGTGGTCTTAATTGATAATCATTTTTGGGGTTGTCTCGTATTGGAGAAAAAACCATTATTTCTCTTACTTTTTTCATTTTTGAGATAATTTTGGAGATGCAATTGGAGCAAAATATTTGCTCAAAATCCTCATTTTTTTCCATTTTGAAAAAGCTGTTGGAGATGCTCTTAGGAGGTTGGCATAGCCACAAGGGCGACGGTAATTATTAATTTTTTTAAGTGGAGGAGAATCTTGTTGAGCGTGTATATCTTTAAGGTAGATCAAAAGCATGCAAAATTGACTTACATGTTTTTAGCTGAATTCTATCATTTTAAGAGATTTTCAAAAAGAAAATTGATCGATTTCAAGGGATCTTTTTGATATTTTCTTATATCAAAATACCCCTCAAAGTTTAACGTGGGCACATTTCATATCGAAAGAAAAATCTATTTATGAAAGTGGGTTGAGCCCAACCGGGGCCTTCAAAGGTCTTTCCCTGCCTTTCTCACCTTTATAAGGATTCAACTATCGAGTTCTAAGAAGGTTGTGTTATCATGTGCCCTTAAACATCATTTACTTAATTTATACTTAATAAGCATTTTTCCACATAATTTATAATGATATACTTGATGTCTAATATTTTCAAAGTATATATGAAGAAAACATTATTATACTTTAACGAATGTTCGTGCGAGAATGATAGTTAAAGTGAGAAGAATAACAAGGGATCTGAATTCTTAATCATCTTTAATCTCAAACTCATCCATAAATCGCATTTGATATGGGAATATATCCGGTGCATCTTACCCTAATATGCATCCAAAGATGAAGATCACTTCTTACGTTTCTTATTATAACTCTTTTTCTCATTGAAACTCAATTCGTTGTATTTTTTCCATGGTCGACCGGCCTCTCTTGCTCTTTCTTTTGCCATAGACGTCATCACCATCCGTTTCTTCTCCCGCTCGATTTCAATAACTTCTTCATAAAACAAATAGAAAATCCCATGATCTAAACAGATTATAAAGGAATTCATATAATAGTTAGTTAGTATTGAAACCAGCTTACTTACGTACATCTCAATTAATTTTATAAAACACTGAAATCTTGAGTGATCTAGACATAGACTGATTAATTGTAACTCCACATTCAATTATTAGATTTTCCTTTTTATTTTATTTAACAATAATTATCACATAAATAAGTAAATTAATAAAAACAACTTTTTAACTTGCTCAGCAAACAATTCGCAACTACTAATCCTTCCTCCACAAGAAACCACCATAAACAACGAACGACCTCACACTCTCCCCTTAATTTCGAATCACATCCATTAAATCACCACCCTCCACCCTATTTCCACACCACCCTCTCTACAACCTCCCCGACCGGAAAATGGACGGAGCTGACCCAACCGCTGCCCTATGCAACAAGGACGCCACCCTCGGTTGCCACCTTGCCCGCCGCCTTGTGGAGGTCGGCATCACCGACATCTTCACCGTCCCTGGAGACTTCAACCTCACTCTCCTCGACCACCTCATTGCCGAGCCTCGCCTCAAAAATATTGGCTGCTGCAATGAGCTCAATGCGGGCTATGCCGCCGACGGCTATGCTAGGATTCGCGGTGCTGCCGCCTGCGTGGTTACCTTCACCGTCGGTGGATTGAGTGTCCTTAATGCTATCGCAGGCGCTTATAGTGAAAATCTACCTGTTATTTGTATCGTCGGTGGTCCAAATTCAAACGACTTCGGTACTAACCGGATCCTCCATCATACCATCGGAATACCCGATTTCAGCCAAGAGCTTCGGTGTTTCCAAACCGTTACTTGCTATCAGGTAAAAGAATACAAAATTTGTATCGTAAAACTTATTGATTCAATATTGAAACTTACACTACCTCCGACTCCGAGGTGGGATATACTAAGTTCTAGAGGTGTACAAGGCTCGGGTTTTTCGGGCTTGGGTCTTCTGGCCCATTATCGGTAAGCAAAAAGAGTCGGGCTTTTTGGGCCTACGCCTGAGTTTTGGGTATGAAAATAGATTTTATTGATGCAATGTTGATATCGTGCTTGTGGCACAGGCTGTGGTCAATCATTTGGACGACGCTCATGAACAAATCGATAGGGCGATCTCAACGGGCCTTAAAGAATGCAAACCCGTTTATATCAGCGTTAGTTGCAATTTGCCGGGCCTTCCTCATCCTACGTTTAGCAGAGATCCGATCCCTTTTTCGCTCTCTACACGGTAATTCACGAATTCTCGAATTTGAAACAATCTTGAACACTAATACTCGTTTAATTTAACAAGTCAAGATCTATAACACTAATTTTCACTTCGGTTCGTTCAGATCAATTAAAGTTTTCAAGTTGAACCAAGTCAAGTCAATCCATTCAGAGATACATTTTTCAAGGCAAACATATTTGTGTTCTCAAATCATATAATCAAAATAGGAGTGATCTTCAATTATCATCTATATGGTTTAAAAATTGTAATTTTCATTCTTATAGTTTGCAATTTATTGTTATTTTCATCTCTGGATTAATTCTTACCTTTTTAAGTAGGAGGGACCAAAATAGTAAATAATTGTAAACCATAGGAACCAAAACAATAGTAAATTTCAAAACATAAAGACAAAAAAACGAGTAACAAACCATAAGGATAAAAACCGTAATTTTTAAACCACCAGAACGGATGTCACAATTTCTAACAAATCAGGAGGAAAAAACATAATTTACTCAAATATAAAAATTATCAAATGTTCCGATGTTTGATACTCGGCTCGGCCCGGCACGGCACATTAATACATCTAGTCTACAAATGTTCCGATGTTTGATGCATTCATGATGTGCAGGATCAGTAACAAATCGGGGCTGGAGGCCGCCGTCGAAGCGGCAGCCGCATTCCTTAACAAGGCGGTAAAGCCGGTGATGGTTGGAGGCCCAAAACTGCGGGTGGCAGCCGCTATGCAGGCGTTTGTAGACTTAGCAGACGCTAGCGGCTATGCTCTATCTGTAATGCCTGCCGGTAAAGGGATGGTTCCCGAGACCCATGAGCACTTTATAGGGACCTACTGGGGTGCAGTCGGGACTGGATTCTGTGGCGAGATTGTGGAGTCGGCTGACGCGTACCTGTTTGCGGGACCCATCTTCAACGACTACAGTTCGGTTGGCTACTCCTTACTGCTCAAAAAAGAAAAGGCCATCATCGTGCAGCCAGATCGAGTGGTCATTGGTAACGGTCCGGCTTTCGGGTGCGTTCTGATGAAAGATTTTCTCGAAGAACTTGCAAAAGTGATCACAAAAAACACTACGGCTTACGAGAACTATGACCGGATCTTCATTCCTGATGGGGAGCCAAAGAAAAGCGAGCCTCAAGAGCCCTTGAGAGTCAATATTCTGTTTCAACACATACAGAAAATGCTCTCGAAGGACACTGCAGTGCTTGCCGAGACGGGAGACTCGTGGTTTAACTGCCAGAAATTGAAGCTGCCCGACGGATGTGGGTAGGGTAACTAAGAACACTTTTTTTCCGAATCTTTCTGCGATGATTTAATTTAATTAATGCATATAAAGAGGGAGAGAAGTTTGTGTTATACCTCCAGGTATGAATTCCAGATGCAGTATGGTTCGATCGGTTGGTCCGTTGGTGCACTCCTTGGCTACGCCCAGGCTCAGCCCGAGAAACGGGTCATTGCTAGCATCGGTGATGGCAGTTTCCAGGTATCTAATTGTACCATAAACGATCCGGGTTTCTTTTGTTGCCAATAATGGGTTCCCGGGCCCACTTGCACATACCTTCAACTGATCCTATGGGGACCAGAAGGCCTAACCTAATATTTATCAATTGAGCTGGCTCTGATGTATCTGTACCTGCAGGTAACCGCACAAGATGTGACAACGATGATAAGAAACGAGCAAAAGAGCATCATATTTCTCATAAACAATGGAGGCTACACCATAGAAGTTGAGATCCACGATGGACCATATAATGTGATCAAGAACTGGAACTACACTGGTGTCGTGGAAGCCTTCAATAATGAAGACGGCAAGTTGTGGACAGCAAAGGTACCATGAGAAAACCTCTCTCTAATCAAAATTAAACTTAAGACCGTCTAACAACACAGAATGGGTAAGCATTAAACGGATAAAACTGCGATTTGGGTCAGCACTAATCACTGATCAAGTAAATATCCCTCCTTAGCTTACCAGGTCAGCATCATGAACCAGTAAGAGGCTTTATAAACACCACCATCTCTTACCGGTAAGAGATGGTAAGCAGATAGTAAACAGCATAATTAACAATTGACTTGATGGTAATAAACAGGTAAAATGTGAAGAGGAGCTGATAGAAGCAATATCAACGGCAACAGGGGAGAAAGAGGATCACTTGTGCTTCATAGAAGTGATTGTTCATAAGGATGATACCAGCAAAGAACTTCTCGAATGGGGTTCAAGAGTCTGCTCTGCTAATGCCCGCCCCCCTAACCCTCAGTAATTTTATCATCTTACTATATAACTAAAGAAATATGGTTTTGTTCCAAGGCTTTATACGGTTCATGCTATAGAGAAGTAAAATAGCTTTTTTGATGTATTATTGTGGTTTTAATTGAAGCTATTTTGGCTACAAAGATGGATATTACAACTATTGTATCATGTTATCTTGATGATATGTATAGGTGCAACAAAATGTCTATATCACACACATGGACGCAGGCCTAAAGAAAAATGCACAAACGAGAATACTTTCAAACTGACCAATCCCTAGGAATTCTGGTCCTAAACGGTCCTAAACCATGGTTTCAACAGCCAGAATGTGGTATGAGATAATACCACCTGTCACAACTTGTTGCTACATAGGCCTAATCGGGGGCCCTAGACCTAGGATGGGAAGTCCTAAGAGCATCTCCAACAGCTATGCTAAAATGAAGAGAAGAAAGATTTTAGCAATTTTTTTGCTCCAACAGCTATACCATCTTGTATGCTAAAATAGAGCAAAGAGGTGAGAGATTGTAAAAATCTCTAAATTTAGAGAAATCTCTAAGAGGTATTGAGAATATAAATAAAAGTTTTAGAGAGAGTAATAATACTTTATTAAATGTATTGAATATTTTAATAACATAGTTATTGTTAGAATTGCTAAAATAGAGTAGCCGTTGGAGTTGAATGTAATTTGTTTAGAGATCTTGACTTTAATACTCCAATTTAGAGAAAACATAGCATAACTGTTGGAGATGCTCTAAGAGGTCCAAGTCCATTTGCCCTCTAGTAGGAGGTGTAGATGGTCAACACAATCGTTGTACAATGTCAACCTCGTGATATTTTTACAATGACGGTGTGTTTAGTACAATGTCAACCTCGTGATATTTTTACAATGACGGTGCGTTTAGTACATGAATGGGACAGGAGAAAGTGACATAGCAGGTGAAAAAATGGTGGAAGGTTTTAGGGTTTTAAACTAAAATGGGTAGTTTGGTAAATTACCAACCTTGTCTCATCTTCCTATTTTTGTTCCACCTATTTTGGTGGGACAAAAAAAAAGTTGTTTAGTCCCACTTAGTCCGGTCATGTCCGAGTCTAATGCCCCACCGAATATTATCTAGTGTACCAAATGTATCCCCATAGAACATCTCATCCAAAAGGTAATGCTATAAAATTCCTAGAATTATGAAGCAAACACAAGCCTTTGCAGCTAAAATGACTTGTGCCATCTTGTTAGAAAAGTTCTTGATTTCCAAGATACATCTATGGGTAAAGATGCCCAACATGGTACACAACATGACACTTGTACCATGTTATTTTGATATTTGCTGCAACGTCAAGTGAATGCATGTCATACACACAAACAAAGCCCAAGGCCTAAGTGTCATGCAAAACTAGTTTTACAAGCATGTTGTGCTGTCTTTATAGCTAAAACTACCTGTCATCTTATAAGTTTTCTTGATTTCACATACCTGAAAAGATATGTGAATAGAAATGGGGATCATGCATGTCTCTCAAGTCTCACCAACTCCTCCATTTGATGGTGGTTCAAGGTGTAAAACTAGGATAAACACACAACTCTATTGATTCTCTCTTAGACAATTACATAAACTTGATCATTCCTGCATAGCAATTCTGTCAATCTTGAACTAATTCTTTTAGATATTGAAGATAAAGTGCTGTTTCAGGGTATTCCCCTTTTCAGATCAGGAAAACAACAGACTCAAAGCAATGTAAAACTTCTGCTTGACTAGATAAAATCATAAGAACACCATTGGTATTCCTGGCTTTAGTAAAAGAAATTACCTGGATTTGTACGTGAGGTGTATTCACGCATACGGCAGCACTCTCCTATTACATGGCATGAAACAGAACAGTCAAACTAAACGGTTTGAGGAAGAACTCCACTGAGACATCAAGATTCAAGAGTAAACAATGAGATAGATAAAGAAAATGGAATTCTGGAGTGATAGAGGAGACTCCATTGAAAGCAAAGCTGCAATGGCTTTTCTTCCAGTTAATTGGTTCTTAACAAAATGAAAATAAAAATAGAGTAGGCCTCAACTTATCATGATAATCCTATTTTGATCCAAATTATGATATTGAAGGAACCCCAGTATGCTGAAATTCAGCTGAATCACAACACAAACATCAAAAATCAACCGGTAGATCATGAAGGTAAATTTAAGTGCACGTTTAGGTCCAATACATCCATGCCAATTGCACCAGAAACATCCATTAATTCGGACACAAGCATTTGTCCAGAACTAGATTGGGGTAGGAACATCAGCTTGAGATCATAAGCTACGACATAAAATCACTTATACTCTTGAAAACAAACAAAATCAAAATCATGCTTGAGCGCCACAGACACATAGAAGGAGAGAAAAACAACAATCACGATGATAATTTCTTAATCGAATTCATAAACTGAAATAATCCATTCAATTGAATGTCGATAAAATCAACAAACCGTCTCCAAAATAAGTTAGGGTTTTAACAAAACTCCATAACCAAATGTACTCAAGTCGAACCATAACAACTACAGAAATTAGAGACAACAGCTAGAAAACATAAATCGAAACAGTAAAGCGACACCGGAAGAGGCGACGGAGCGACTCGGAGCAAAAGCCTTCGTTGATTTACTTGGATCGCTGTCTCATCTTTCGACGCTTCCGCTTCAACCTCCTCATTCTCTTCTTCTTCCACTGCAAAACAAAAGCATATTAAATCAAAATTACGAATATTATTCGACGATACTGAACTCGAATATGTGTTGGAAAAATGATCAATCACCTTAGCTCTCATTGCTACGCCGGCTGTTTTTCACACTTCCAAAGGTAACGAGTGAATGAATGCGGCGGCGGTTGGGAGCTTGTGTTGTTTGGTGGATGACGAAGATTTATAGTGGAACCCTAGTTGGGTTTTTAGGGGCAGGTTGATGATGGGTCGGTCACGATATTCGGGCAGTCAAGGGTTGTTAATTTAGGGCTCGTTTCTTAGCGGGTTAAGGAGGTCTATAATACTCATATCTTATTCGATAAATTATAATATGATTATTATATAATAGTGGTTTATCTAATAAGCTTTTAGAAGAAAACTTTATGCAGAAAATCAATTTTTTTTTTCAAATATGTCTTTTCCAACTAAAATACGTTCTTTTCATATATGAAAAAACCTTTCAACCAAAAAAATTCTCAATTTATATAAGACAAATTAATCCACACATACAACTTTATCCAAGATTTAATAAAAAATCAACCAAACAAATCCTGATATGAAAAAACCGCATGGTCTAAAAATAAGAACCAAAATGAGGTGGTTGTTTACCAAATGTCTAAAAATCTAAAACACGACTTTGGGGATATTTAGGTTTGGGTAGGGTTTGATAACTCATGAAAACCCAAATATATATATATATATATATATATATATATATATATATATATCTTAATTATATTTTGAAAATCCTATATCCTAATTGGCTATGTTTTTTTTTTCTAAACTCAATATCAATATTGTCAATTGTCTAAACCGGTTGAATTTATGCTCAAAAATCAGTTGAAAATATATATTTTTTGCCTATAGCTATACTTGAAGCCAACCGATTCCAACTCGAAACTGAAGCAATCCAAAACCCAATTTTTGAGGTTGGCTTCCACATTTGAAATCCAATCAGATTTTTGGTTCCCCCACTTGACCCACTTAATGCACACCGCTAGTTGTTAGAGCATCTCCGGTTGAGGTTCTTAATAACTTAATTTTCACTTTTTTCTCGTCATATCAATTTCAACTCCTCAAATTAAGAACATATATAAAAGTCTACAATGATACTTCTTATAAAAACCTCTTTTGCACGTCATATGTATTTTTTTCAACATTAATAATTATTATATATACATAATAAATATCAAATATTTAGTTTGAAAATTTACACGAAGCCTAAGGTAAGAACTAAGGTTCTTGTATGAAAACTCAAAGTATTTGAGGTTTTTGTAAAAAAAATAAATCTCAAATGATAATTCTTACAATACGCTACACTTTTTTACTTACAAGAATCTCCTATTAAATATGCTTTTAATGAAAATTAGTTGATAAACTATATTTCAATGTAAAATTAAAATACATCGAAAAAATTAATTGAAAATATATAAAGGGTGGAGTTAGAAAAAAGGTGGGGAAAAAAGCATCTACTTATTGAAACACTAATTGGTTTTGATCAACAACCGTAAGATAATCTATTTTTTGAACTTATTAAAAAGTCGTGTTTAATTGATCATACACTAATTTATGAGCTAACCTTTGAGACGTTGCTTGAAATAATGTTTTATTAAACTGTAATGAGTTTTTTAGAAGGAAAAAAAAATCAATTATGTTTTTTATATCTCCTCCTCCTCCTCCTCCTCCTTCTTCTTCGGTTGTTAGTGACATGATAGGATATATATATATATATATATATGGAGATTCAAACAAGAATATCTATGTCTTACGAAACACAAGATTGTTTTAATCATATGTGATAATATGTGTGAGAGTACGTGATGGTGTGTACATGCCTTGGCATACGACCTAGGATGCGCCAAAGGCCGTCTGTGTCTTTGTTGTAGTATTACACGTGATGGATTATAATATAAAGTTGAGAACCCCTTTTATATTATCAAATTTAGAACCCCTTTAAATTGTTTCTCGAAATATGTACAAATGGAAGTTTAACTCCTAAACAAGCACTTTGCAAAGCCCCCATAATTTGATTGATTTAGGGGCTGTTTGTTTGCCTCTTAATGGTGACATTAAGAGGCAGCCTCTTAATCGCTAAGAGGCAGAGGCTGTTTGGCAAAAAAAAACAGAACCTCTTAATGGTGACAATTGGCTCTTAACCATTTTGCATCCTATACCTCACTAAACCATTCAGATGTTCATTTTTCCAACTATGCCCTCCTTCTTCCCCCCTCCATCACCGTCTTCTCCCCCCATCACCGTCTTCTACCCCCCCTCGTCGGTCTTCCATAACCACCAACAGCACACATCGCCGGTCTTCCCTCCCCCCACCCCACGTCGCCGTCGCCGCCTCGTCGCTCGTCGCCTCGCCGCCTCGTCGCTCGTCGCCTCGCCGCCTCGTCACTCGTCGCCTCTCCGCCTCTTCCAGCAGGTCGTTGATCTTGCATAAATCTAGGGTTTGGTTTAGGGAATTTATCATTTTTCWTTAGAAATTGATGGTGTTTATTGCTTATTTCATGTTTGTAACAATGTTAATGATGATTGGATTATCGACATTTTGCAATTTCTTGAGGATTTGATACTGATATGAAGAAACATCATCTTTGGTAATTGTATGTTGGTTTATTCAGTACTAAATCATAACTAGGGTTAAAATGGTAATTTGCTATCATTCAGAGAATAATTACCAAACAACCTTGTTTCATTCAGCACTTAACCATTCTGATCCTCTTAGCCATTCTAACCTCTTAACTATTCTGAACTAAATCATTCAGCAACTGCCAAGCAGCCCCTTAGTGATTTCCTTTTTACATCCCAAATTCAATCCCAAGGAAGAAACTTCAAATTTAGAGAACAATAAGGGTTTTGACTTTTTTGATAAATTGGCTAAACTAGCAAAAAAAATTAAAACAATAGCGTTGAAATCGATTTGTATGATATACATGAAGGAGCATAGCGGTGTGCATGCGACTTGGCCCACTACTTAAGTCGTCCAAGGATCGTCTGCGTCTCTGATTTAGTATCACATGTACAATAAATGGTGTTATCGCATTTTCATAAAATTAAGGTGTTATCATTTGAACCATTATATATATATATATATATAGATATAGGGGTGGTTATTTTACAAACCATGCAAACCGCTCCTAACCACTCATCCGTTTCATCAATAGTTGAGATTAAAACGGTTACACAATTGTAGTTGCACGTTATAATAATAATAATAATAATAATGTAATCGTTTTAATCTCAATCGTTGATGAAACAAATGAGTGGTTAGAATTGGTTTTCAGGGTTTATAAAATAGTTTTGGCCTATGTATAAAAGCAAAATATTGTGTGAAAATGATAGCTAAATATGAGAAACGTAATAAGAGATCTGAACCCTGATCATATTTAATCTCAAACTCATCCATGAATCTTGTTTGCAGGGATTGATCCAATGTATCTTATCCTGATACGCATCCAATGGTGAAAAACTCTTCTTACGCTTCTCACACTTTAATCTCCCTTCTCACCGAAACCCAAATATATATATATATATATATATTAAACCCAGGTTAAAGATAATGCTCGACAAGAGGTCTATGCTAGAGTTATGGTTGATGATGTTAGTTTAAAGTGATGATGATGGTACGCCATGATATACTTCAAACTTGGTGAAAAAACTACTATTAAGATGATGCATGTTTATTCTTTGCACTTACATGGATCTATTCGTCTAAACAGTGGATATAGTAGTTGCAAAATTCTAACTACTACTTATACATATACATATATACATATACATATACATATACATATACATATACATATACATATACATATACATATAGTTGTTGTATAAGTGGCCTTTACATCACTTCAAAAACATAATGTTGTTAACTTCAATAACCCATGGAATTGATTAATGACGGATCCAAAATTTAGGTGATTGGGGGTATATTTAAGGTGGTGTTTAGTTCGTTGAAATCTGAGAGAATTGGAATAGTCAATTATATTGACCAAATGATCTTATATTTACCCAATTCGTTGCAAGCCAAACAAGACCTTATGATCTTATATTTAAGCTATGTTTGCCAAATTGAATGATAAGCTAGCTGATGACTAATAAACTAGTTGATAGCTGATAAACTAACTGATGAATAAATCATGTTTAACAAAAACTAACTTAAAATATGTAAAATGACCAAAATGGGCACTTTAAAAAATTAATCAATTACAGTATTTCATAATATCATTAGAACAAATATCTAAAAATATAATATGTTAATTAATACCAAAAAGATGATAAAAAATAGCGAATATAATTTATTGACTATAAGAATTTCAAATTGATTATCATACATTTTGGATTTGTTAACCAAATTTTAGAAAA